CAAGTTATTTTCAGCCAAGCCTTTGTTTGTGTGTGTTCTCCTGTTACAGCATTTCACACAATCTGAAGTCACTTTGAAATGCCTGTCCTATACAACAGGACAGTGTGATAAGTCAATTGCTGCAGTAACAGGTTACAGAAATGAGAGCTACAGCTCACTTGAGCTGTAGCTCACGAAAGCTCATGCTCAAATAAATTGGTTAGTCTCTAAGGTGCCACAAGTACTCCTTTTCTTTTTGCGAATACAGACTAACACGGCTGTTCCTCTGAAACCTGTCAGAAATGAGAGAGGAAGTCAGCAGAGCCTCTGCTAATCTTCACTGCAGAATTAAGGCTTCCTTTAACTGGGGTTCAAATGTACCCAGGGTCCCATAAACAGAAGAATCAAGTTTCCAGCAGTTCTGAATCAACGGTGGCTAAGGAGTTAAGGAATCCATTTATCCAGATGCTTATGCGGGTGTCTTGCATCCCCTTTCCTGCTGGGATTTTCTCTCTTCTCTAGAAAAAAGAAAAGGAGTACTTGTGGCACCTTAGCTCACAAAAGCTTATGCTCAAATAAATGGGTTAGTCTCTAAGGTGCCACAAGTCCTCCTTTTCTTTTTGCGAATACAGGCTAACACGGCTGCTATTCTGAAACCTGTCTCTATTCTAGGACATCCTGTGTCTGCTTGGCAATTCGCCTTAATAAACCAGTAAGTTTCTTGAGAGGAGTGTTAACAAGCCTAATAACTGGCAGCAGTCAGGCTTCTACGTGCTTAAAAGACAAGATTATAATAAGCCTTTAGCTAGTCAGGCTGTTTGGGGTTTATTTTGCCAATCATGTGTAGGCTGAAGTGTTGCAGGCATCATCCTCTATGACCCCCCATCCCTCTGTACTACTAAGGTACATATGAAATTATAGTCTTTTCCACTATATTCTGATTTAGACAGCAATGAGTGGGTGTGGTGGGTGACTTTCTTTTAACAGCAGAAGACTATTAGAAACAGCAGATTCCCTGTAGACTGTGAATGGCAGTTTGAAATGGGCAGCTGCAAAGGAGAGAGAGAGAGCTGAGACAACAGCCACAGGGGTGAGCTGCTCCCTGGGGAGGGAAGAGGCTGGGAGCAGGCAGTGATGAAAAGGTGACAGAAAACAGGGTAATGTGTGAGAAGAGCTGTGTCAGAGAAGAGAAAATTGAGAAAAATATGAGGAAGTAAAGGAAAAAGCAGTAGAACCAGAGAGTGTGGTTGCAAAAAAAAAAAAAAAAAAAGACAGATATCCATCTGGCTGGACAAGTCTTTCTTTGTATTTTTCTTTGTGTTCATGGTGGGTTACATCAAGGCTGTTGCTACAGGGAGACAGTAGGGCTTGCTTCACAGCCTCCTTGGATGACTGGGCCAAGTGCTCAGCACAGGGCAAGATGATCCTGTGCCTCTGTATTCCCAGCACTGTGTGGGCCTGTGTTATTGTGCTTCCTCTGAAGAACAACTGCGTGCTTCTTTGGTTCTGCCCCAGGTCTTATTTCACTGCAACACTAGTGGGGGGAACCAGTTACCTGCCCTGGCTTACACTATCTAGAGAGCTAATGGTTTGAATCTTTGTAAAGGCAGAGACCCCCTGAAGAGAAGCATAAGGTGGTAAAATACACCCTGCAATTGAAAGTGAAAAATTCCTAGAAAGAAAAGCAAAGGAGGGAGAGACCCCATTGGTAAGGAAAGAGGGAAAATGGATTGTGAAACATTCCTAGGGTGAGGAGAGAAAGGCAAGGAGAGGTGAGAAGCTCACTTGGAAAGAGTTGAGGGAAAGTTTAGCACGGACAAGTTGCACTGCCTTTAATACAAGCTAAGCTGCTTAAGAGCTTTGACCTGCTAAAATAGAGCTAAAAGTGTTCTTGTGCTGGGTTTAGCTAGCACGTTAGCTAAACCTGACCTAAAATTGCCCATTTTTCCTAGTTTAGACAAAGCTAAATAGGTGGGAAAAGGAAAGACTGTAGGAGAGAAGGGGCCTGTATAGAAGGGGCGGGAGAGGAAAGAGAAGAGGCATGAGGAATAGCACTTAGGCGATGGACTATTAAAATGGAAAGACTGAAGAAAAAAAGACAAGCAGACAGAGAGAAAGCAATCCTTGAGTTCAGAAAGGAAATAAAAGAGAATAGAGAAGGGAAAGTGTGGTTTACCGCTCTTAAACCCACCCCACCCCCCCAAAAAAAAATTGGTGTCTAAATGTGACAACCATTTTACATCCACAGCAGGGATTATATGATTTTGTGGACTGAATGTTCCTGGGAAAGCCAGTGGTGAGATGGATATAGGAGTGCAATGTTCTAATGTCTAAGGAAGGGAAATAACCTGCTTTGTTTTACTCTATTGATTCTGGCTTTTAGAGGGTGTTTTTGCATGTTTGGAAATATACAAGGGCATTTGGATCTCTGGCATTCGTGCATGCTTATTTAATGTGCCACACTGGTAAACTATTTTTACAAAGAAGTCCTGAAGACTTCTAGGAAGGTTTCTTTATTGGTTTTCATTTTTTTTAAAATAGGTGTGGAAATCTTTTAATTTAAATAGTAGAAAAATGGCACTGGATATTTCAAAACTTTTTGGGAGAAGTTACAGTCTCTAGATCCCCCTAACCTTTTTTGAACTACTAACAACCTCCTAAATTTTGCTTTACTGGTTATGGGCTGGAAGTTTATGACAGTTTTGAATTGCTGTCTGACCTGACTTTTCTTGTTTGTATAGCAGCATGATAATTGTTCCTCACCATTGAGTAAAACTTTATCCCCATAGTTGGTTCTGTTGAGAGGTTAATTAGTTCAGAAGTTGGTACCCCTAGTACTGACCTAGCTATGGAATGTGGTTTGGGAATTTTGGGATACAGCTATAACTGCAGTGTGCCAGCATAGGGGGTAATTATATATTGAAGTAGTCATCATCATGATTCTTCAAGATATTTATTACAAAATAAACCTCTCAATACACTGTATGTAGTGATAAGCTAATATTCATTTAAAACTATGGTGAGAGACAGAGAAGTGGAGGTCATGGAAGGGTTCAACGTCTTGAGGTACACAGCACGAATAAGAGGAATTGATATAGCGTCTTAACATAACTATCTACTAAGTGCTGACTGAAGGGCCAAATTCAGAGCTCAGTGACACATTCACACGTGAAAATACGGTGTTTGTAAATGGAAGCCTACAGCATGCACTGGTGGATGTGTGCTTGCAAGGCTTACTGTAAGCCCCCTTCTGCCACACTCTCGAGAAATCAGCCTATGTTTAACAGCTAGTCTGGGGGCAGATGGGAACAGTGTGTGTGTGTGAGATTACAAAGCAAAACCCCAGTATCTCTCTCTCCCCATCCGTTGCACATTGCTAGTTAATCCAGGGGTAAATCCCTTGGGCCTGGGCTGTGGTGTTTGCAGGGTACCCAATGCCACAGGGCTCTAAGCCCTAGGGAAGGCATCTGTACTAGAACAAAAAGAAAAGGAGGACTTGTGGCACCTTAGAGACTAACCAATTTATTTGAGCATAAGCTTCCGATGAAGTGAGCTGTAGCTCACCAAAGCTTATACTCTAATAAATTGGTTAGACTCTAAGGTGCCACAAGTCCTCCTTTTCTTTTTGCGAATACAGACTAATACGGCTGCTACTCTGAAACCTCTCCTAGAACAGGTTTCAGAGTAACAGCCGTGTTAGTCTGTATTCGCAAAAAGAAAAGGAAGACTTGTGGCACCTTAGAGACTAACCAATTTATTTGAGCATGAGCTTTCGTGAGCTACAGCTCACTTCATCGGATGCATACCGTGGAAACTGCAGCAGACTTTATATATACACCGAGAATATGAAACAATACCTCCTCCCACCCCACTGTCCTGCTGGTAATAGCTTATCTAAAGTGATCATCAGGTTAGGCCATTTCCAGCACAAATCCAGGTTTTCTCACCCTCCAACCCCCCCACACAAATTCACTCTCCTGCTGGTGATAGCCCATCCAAAGTGACAACTCTTTACACAATATGCATGATAATCAAGTTGGGCTATTTCCTGCACAAATCCAGGTTTTCTCACATCACCCCCCACCCCCATACACACACAAACTCACTCTCCTGCTGGTAATAGCTCATCCAAACTGACCACTCTCCAAGTTTAAATCCAAGTTAAACCAGAACATCTGGGGGGGGGGGTAGGAAAAAACAAGAGGAAATAGGCTACCTTGCATAATGACACACACACAAACTCACTCTCCTGCTGGTAATAGCTCATCCAAAGACCACTGGATGAGCTATTACCAGCAGGACAGTGGGGTGGGAGGAGGTATTGTTTCATATTCTCTGTGTGTATATAAAGTCTGCTGCAGTTTCCACGGTATGCATCCGATGAAGTGAGCTGTAGCTCACGAAAGCTCATGCTCAAATAAATTGGTTAGTCTCTAAGGTGCCACAAGTCCTCCTTTTCTTTCTCCTAGAACAGTATCCTAACTGGACCTCTGCTCGTGCCATTCCAGGCCCCAACCCGCTAGGCCCCCGGGGCTGATGGCTACAACAGCCCCCCTGGCTGAAAGGCGGGCCAGGGGGAGCGCTGTCGCCGTGGCCCGCACTGGGACTGGCCTAGGTAAGGCAGCGCGCGCACGGGCCCCGCCGGCCGGCACCAGGTCCCCACGGGCTTAGCCCGGCAGCTCCGCCGTCCCCGCCGGGGCCTCGCTCCCCAGGGGTCCGCCCAGCCTCCCCACGCTACCCTGTCCTCTTCTGCCCTGCCACCACAGAGACACCAACTCGCCAATCAGCGAGGCCAGAAGCCATCGCCCCGGCAACCCTGGTGACCAATCCACACTGGCTCTCCGCCTCTGGTCCTTTCCCCGCCCCGTCCCCCATCGTTCCCCTCCCCTCTAGCGGCGCTGTCCAATCATAGGCCGCGATCGGTCCTGTGGGGCGGGGGAAGACGGAGGGAGGAGCAAGGGCGTCCAATCGCTGCCGGGCTTTTGCTTTCGTCACCCAATGGGGAGCCGCTTTGCCCGCTTCTGTGCAATCCGCATTCCACGGGAGGCGCACAGGGCCAAACCCGGCAGCCGCGGCCTCCTCCTCGCCTCCCCTCCCCTCGCCTAGTAGCCGGCGGTTGCCTCGGGCTTTGTCCCAGGCCGGCTCCCCTTCCCCGCCCGGTTCGTGTCGGGGGCCGAGCCGCCTTTTCCTGCCTCTCACAGCGCTTCTCCCCGAGCCGCCCGGTCCGCGGCGCCGCCCCGCCCCCCCTCTCGGGGGCTCGGGCTCTGCCGGGGGAGGAGGGGGATTAGCGCTGCCGCCGCGGCTGGGCCCGTCTCCTGCCCCCTCCCCCCCGAACACCATAGGCGGCTCAGGCACCAAGATGTCCAACCGAGTGCTCTGCCGGGAGGCCAGCCACGCCGGCAGCTGGTACACAGCCTCAGGTAGCGGGGCCGGCCGGGCGCAGCCCCGGCCACCGGGGGCGGGGGGCAGGAGGGCAGGAGGTTGGGGGGCGGGCCGGTTACCGCCCCAGTGGTGCCCCTCGGGGGTGTGTGTGGGGGGGGGCCGCAGCAGGGTGTCACCGCCGCGGGGCCGAGGCAGCTGCGAGCGGACGCTCCGAGGGGCCTGGCCGGCCCCGGCAGGGGTGTGCAGTGTGGTCCCGGCAGCTGCGGCGCTGGCGGGTGTCGGGCTCCGCGGCCCTTTCCCAGCCCCAGGCTGGTCTGGGGGGCCCGGCTGGAGCCAGAGGCTGAGTCAGCGCTTTCCACCCCGGAGGGGCCTCCGGTGCTGATTCTGGGAGCCGCGGCGCGGAGGGGGCCGTGCAGGGCACATGGCGCTGGCTCCCGTCCACACGCTAGCAAAGGCAGTGCCCTCCCAGGCAACGGGCTCGCCCCTGCCCGTCGCGCACAAGCTCCGGAGCCCGCGGGCTGCACGTGCAGTCCCCTTCCCTCATGTAAAACCGTGCAGCAAATCCCCGAGTGCGCCTGCAGAGCAAACTGGCTAGTAAAATAGAACTGGAAGGGCTCATTGTGCCACTAACTGGCTGACCCGAGCTGCCCGTGTCCCAGGCACGGCCGTACCCGAAGCATCGAGGCGGGCAGCGGAGTGTGGTATGACTAGGAAAGGGGAAATGTAAATTGATGGTAGGAACGTAAGAATTGCTGTATCAGGATCAAACCAGTGGTCTAGGATCGCATAATACCTCCGGTGGTATCGGAGGATGCTGGGTACCTTGTGGGTGTGAGAAACTGTAGTGGACAATTATGGAATAACTAGTCATAAGGGAGTTTTGCGAAATAACTTTCTAATGTTGAGATATGTTAGAACATGTAATGATGAAAGCCCCCATTTAAATTTAGGTAAGGTGTAACCCTAATAAACATAGCTAAGATGCTCAGAATGCAGTCTGATGTGTGAACCTAGGTAGAACAGAAGGAATAAAAGAATTCATTGAAGACTAATCCTGTACTTGTTTAGATGGACAAATGATTTAATGGAGTCTCTTTCTCCTCCACTGCCTCCCTCTATAATGTGTGGTGATTGCATTGTATTACTGTATCTGAAAATAGTCTGTGGAGTAATTCATTTCAAAGAGTCAAGCAGTAGTTTGGTTTTTTTGGCCTGCAAAACACTAACTGGGATTTTACTTTGTAATGGCATATATAATCGGACATGTTATTGTAATGTATAATAAAACTGGCTTACATAGTTAGCCTTTGCATCTCTCACATCTGAAACTCCTTGCGAAGTGGAGTGCATAAATGAATGGATATATGCATGTAGTCTTGCCTCATAAAGTTAAGTAGTCTTACACCCATTATGTTAACTGCTTAATTCTCAAAGCTGAGATGAAAATTCTTTAATGTAAGCGGACCATGAACAGTTTTTAAAAAAATAACTTTTGACTTCCAATTCCATTGTTTCTCTTCTTCCATCCCATCATCTTACTGAAAATCATTATTGAGATTGATAATGTGGGAACTCACTATCACATACTATATACTAGCTTTTATTTTTATGTTGATGCAATAATTCAAAACAAAAATGTTTTTATAGTATTTAATATTGTAAAAACAGTACTATTATTTTTGCCCCCCCTCCCACCTCCATAGTGAATTTAGTTATGTAGATGTCGCATATTGGCTAGAATCAAGGATCTTGTGGCACAATTAGCTATCATAGCAGAGTTTTTCCAGCATTTAAAAAAAAAATCTTATGGGGGGGAACCCTAGCATTTGTACTGCTGTTACTTGTTCACATATTCCATAATGCCATCAGAAATGGGCTAAAAGTACAGTGAAACTGTTCTGGTGATCCTCCTGTGTTTTTCCTATTCTTTGTGCTGGCCCTTTGGGGAAGTGGAAGATGCAGGTGCTGGGTGCACTCTATAGAGCTGGTGGGGTGAGAGAGACACTAGCATTGTCTTTTCCTGTAGTCCAAGCAGCAGTGAAGGAGTCTGTCATTGGCTATTGCACATGGCTTCTCTCTCTTAGTGATTGCAGTAAAGTGATAGATAGTGATCTGATCAGTTTCAAGCTGTGTCTGCTGGCACTTCAGGAAAGTGCTATATGTGGTGGTAAGAAACAGGTGATTGTGATTGAAGGCAGTGAAGGTTGAGCTGGACAAAGGAAGTTGTACTGATGGCCTGGTGACACATCCAACTTTAAGAACAAGTTTTGTCACATCCTTTTTGGAATGTTGAGGTCTTGGATAATCCAGGACGAGGGAAGACATACAGACAGGAAAACATAAGAAGAGGGAGAGACAGGGAGATGAAATGAGTAGCTTGACTTTAGTGGGGATATTTTGTAACTGAGTTTTATTTCCTGGAATCGTCCATCTACTTCAGTGTAGTAGCAGTCTTTCCGCTGGGAAATTTGTAGGTGTGATCCACTCCAGGCAAAGACTTTAGATCAATTTTCCATTAAATCTAAAAAATAAAATTCTAATGCTTTACCAACTATTCTGTATAGACACCTCAAATAATACATTTATTTGAATACGAGGTTACATATTTCAACACGAGTGAGGACATTCAAAAATTGTCTTTCATGGTAACATTAACTTGCCCAGATTGCTTTTATTTAATTAGGTTACTAAATTACTAATTAGGTTACTAAACTGATATGTAATGTGGGAAGATAAGGTGATTTAAAAATCTCTCCACCCCCCCTCCCCACCCTCTTATCTTTAAACGTGGCCATGCTGCAGCTGCATGGCTGGAGCTAAACATGGTTATTGTCTGCACACAACACAGTTAGAATTTAGTAACCATGTCACTAAAGAGAGGCCTAGGTTGACACATGACTGTCTTTCTGGACTGGTTCAGCACACACTTTTTGGGCAGATGGTACACCTCAACAAGCCCATGTAACTATTTTTGTTCAGTTTTGCTTCACCCAGTTCTCTGCAGTAGGACACCTAAGAGTGCATTAGCCTATATGCTTTTGTATGCATGTTTTCTGGGTATTGACTGAGAAGACAGTATGGGATAGCTGGCCAGAGACTTTTCTCAAGGGGAAAAAAATAGCAGAGTATTAGATGTGGAGACACAGACGCACATGTGAAGATAGAAAAGCTGATGTTTGAACTCAAACTGGACCATATTCTAACTTGTCACAAAATCATGGTCAAAATTTGTTGTTTGGATGGGGCCTTATTGTTACTTTATTTCTTTTAGTTTTTTTGAGAAATAAAAGAAATTTGAAGGGAAAGGGCCATTGTTTGATAGCTTGATGGGATTTTAGCCTACCCCCCCATTGTCCACACATATGCAAACCTTTAATCCGGCTTTGAATGTTCTTTGAATCTGGGCTTGCTTGTCTGGCAGGAGGTATAGATGAAAGCTCAAGTTTCACTTTAATGCGGGATCTAACCTGCCTACTTTGCAATGAGAATACAACTGAAGATTGGATTATGATAGTCCTCCAGTGCATTCCCACAGTTCTGCAGGGGCTATATTTTCTGGTCCTCTTACCTACTCACTTCCCACTCCCCTCTACACCAGAAGTCACCTGCTGGTTTATGTACACTTTGTTGGCATTTAACTCTTCATTCAGCATGCTCCATTTCTGCAAAGTTCAGCTCATTTGAACAGCATGAGAAGATGCCGTCCTAGGGTGCTCCTAGCTGGCCAGAGGATCACATCAAGGTTCTGGTTGCTCTCCAGTGTGAGTACTGGTGTAAGTACAGTAAGGAAAACACAGTTTTGGGCGATGCAGTTGAATTAGCATCTCTGCAGGAATATTTCAAAGAGACTGGGGGAGGAGAGGAATCAGGTGGATGGCAATTCAGTGTTGGAGAATTAAAAACCTCAGCGATACCTGCTGCAAGGCAAAGGATACCAATTGAATGTCCCGCAATTTCTCATTCACCTGCCCCTCCTATGAGATGTTTGACCAGATGTTTGATGCTGTCGTGAGTACGGAGCCTAGTGCCAGGCTTGATGGGCTTTTTGAAGTGGAATGGTCTGATATTTAGACCAGGGGCAGATGAGAACTTCGTTGCAGAAGAGCTGGAGTAGTCAGCATGGCCAGAGTGACTGGAGGATGTCCTTGTGCTGGATTCCATGGACGTGTTCAAGGATGTACCCAAGGAATGGAATGTAGAGGAAGCAGAGTCTGAGGTGGAGCCACAGTCCGGTAAGAGACAGCTATCACCTTTATTATTGTTATGGGGGGAAACTGTGGTATAAGTGTAGGGTGGGGTTTGCTGACCTTTTACCAATGCAAATATTACAGAGGATATTGCATGCTACGAGGTGGAATTAGCTTCAGTTGAGGGTGGAAGCTATGCTTTTTCCCTTTTCCCTCTTCCTACTCCATCCATGTGTGATCTGGGATGGGAATGGGATGGAATTTAAACATGCAACTAGTGATTTATTCTAACTATGATTTAACTGGTTGCTGATAACACACTTATTCAACATTGGATTACAGGTTTAACAGAAATGAATACATATGTAATATGGATACTCTGCACTCTGTTTATAACACTTATACTGGGATTAGTACTAAAGCATTGCCTCACTGGCTGTATTAAGTGGAAATGTCCCTTGGTGATGGAAGTATCTGGCCTCCTTGGTTTGTGATATGTTGTCCAGGCCAGGGGAGATGGATTGGGGTGGGATGGAGGAATGAAGATAAAAAGGCAGATCTGTTTGTAGCAAGACTGTGCTTCCTCCTAGTTCAGTACCTTGTTTATGTTTGCTGAAATGCACCCCCCCCCAAAAAAAAAAAAAAAAAAAAAGCTGATAATGCTTGAGAATTTTGTCAGTGAAATTCCTCGGCAGGGCAAACTTGCTATGCCTATCCCTGGAGCTTACTAGCCTTGTCCAGTCATTGACATGCTGATCAGGTACCAGGCAGTTAAATAACACCTTGGCATATATAAAGCTGATCCTCTTCCAGTCTGGGATCCCAAGAAGACCAACATCCCCCAACACTGT